AATAGCCAGACGTTGTGGCAGGTGCCTGTAGTCCCAGCTACGTGGGAGGCAGAGGCAGGAGAATCGCTTGAGCCCAGGAGTTGGAGGTTGCTGTGTGTTGTGATGCCACAGCACTCTACCCAGGGCGACAGCTTGAGGCTGTGTCTCAAAAAAAAAAAAATAATAATAAAAAGAAAAATTAACAGGGTGTCGTGGTGGGCATCTGTAGTCCCAGCTACTCCGGAGGCTGAAGCAGAAGAATCACTTGAACCCAGGAGTTTTGAGTTTGAGGTTGCTGTGAGCTATGGTGCTACGGCACTCTAACCTGGGCAACAGAGTGAGAGATTCTGTCTCAAAAAATGAATGAATGACTAAATTAAAAATCTGGGATCAAAAATGAATGAATGAATCAAAAATCTGGGATCAGGCCCCTGCCTCCCACATTCCACCACTTGTCATTGAACGCTTCTTCAACCAAACTGGTCCTTGAGTATGCCAAGAACCCTTCTATCTCAGGGCCTTTCCACTTGGCTATTTTCTTGCCTGGTATGCACCACTCATCTTTTCCCATGGCTGGCTGCTTCCCAACCTTCAGGTTTCAGCTAACATGCCACCTTATCAGAGAGGCCTTCTTAGATATCCCTCTGACTCATTAACCAGTTTATTTTTTCTTCATGGAACTTTTCATACTTTGAAATTGTTGGTTTGCACCATGTTCATTATCCATTGCCCTTAGCAGACTGTCATTTCTATTAAGGCAGAAACCTTGTCTTGTTTTCTGCTGTCATCCCAGCACTGTAACCCCAACACGTGCTTGTTGAAGCAAGACACAGTTTTGTGCTGCCAGTGCCCAAAGCATGGATGGGTGATGTTTACATATGATATCACTGTGGAGTAGTCTCTGGATAATAGCTACATTTTAAGTGGTGGCTATGATTTGTGAGGGTGTCCCCTGGTAGTTGGGCCACATGGTATTTTACCTGTGATGTATATTGCCTCACGTCAGAGGAAGGTCAACTTCAGCAATCAGTGAAGGAGAGAGTTGTGCTGGACTTACTTTATCATCACTGAAACGGGATTTTCTGGGATTTTTCTTTTGCAGTGGTGGACTAGTTTATTCAGTTAATCCTTCCACCAAAAATAGTGACTATGTTACATAATATATAAAAATATTCTCTTAAAACCCCTGAAGTGCTTATAAAGATGAGGAATTCCAAGGCTGGGCACAGTGGCTCACACCTGTAATCCTAGCATTCTGGGGGGCTGAGGCTGGTGGATTGCCTGAGTTCACAGGTTGGAGACCAGCCTGAGCCACAGTGAGACCTCGTCTCTCAAAATAGCCAGCCAATGTGGCAGGTATCTGTGGCCCAGCTACTTGGGAGGTTGGGGCAAGAGTATTGCTTGAGCCCAAGAGTTTGAGGTTGCTGAGAGCTATGATGCCACAGCACTCTACCAAGGGCAACAAAGTGAGACTCTGTCTCAAAAAAAAAAAAAAAAAAAGATGAATTCCCAGCAACCAGACAGGAGGTTTGGAATGTTGGAACACCACAGCCACTTATGACTTGAGGCCATTTGCTAATATTGAACCTGTGAGTTTCAGTTTGTCAACCACACAAGGAAAGGAGAGACTGAAAGCCCAGGGCCTGCCCAAAGTCTGGGGTCCTACCACAGAATCTCCCCACATTAAGCTGAAACTCCAAAGGGCTTTACTTAAGTCTAATATGATATGAGCCTGCCATACAATCCATACCACTAGCCCCAAGGGACAGCAGAAAAAGTTGCCTTGGTGCTGACAATAGTTGAAGGTAAAGGAAAGGGGAATTTTTAAAAGCTCTTCTGTGGGAAATCATGACCATTGATAAGTCCCTTTGCATCCCAGGAAACAGATCCTGGCAGATCAAGAAATCTCAAGCTATGCACTAGGAACCTGGTTTGAGATAAAAACTGACTAGAAGATCCCATAAGCCCTTGGCAAAAAAGCAGATACAGGGTGGCGCCCGCAGCTCAGTGGGTAGGGTGCTGGCCACATATACTGAGGCTCGCGGTTTGAACCCAGTCTGGGCCAGCCAAACAACAATAACAACGACAACAGCAGATACAAAGCCTCTCTGGAGAAGGGCACATTTATCTTCAGCTTCAAAAAACCACTACAAATAATTTTTCTTTTCTTTTTTTTTTTTTT